GAAGCTGACCATCAAGAATAAAGATAAACAGCAATAGAAGGAAAAAGAAAAAGTGCTGCAAGTTTTCTGCAATTTCCTTCCTAAGCTTTGAAGCTTCAGGAACCAAGAATGGATTAAGAATTTTTAGTCAACCGTCCAAATTTTGAACTAACTAACAACTACCATAATTCAAACAAGCAAGAATCATAGAAAGAAATCATGCAAACTCACAAGGAAACTCATGCACTCTGCTAGTTTTTTTTTTTTGCCGCAAACAGTGTGCGCATGAAACATTTCAGGCATTTCATATAGATTTGTCAACCAATCCCACATATTCATCAAGCTTCCTAGAACTATCACCAAGAAGCAACGCTGAATGTACAACGAGGGAAACAACCGAGCAGAGGAGGAATTCCTTAGACCCCAGATTCGTTCATCAGTTTCACAGCTAATGACCTTTCCAAACACAGCTTTAATATTAGATGCTATTCATGGCATTCCATTCAAAGTAGAGAACAAAACAAGCCTCAATTTATTGCATTCCATTCAAATAATTTTCTCAGGAAAAAATTAAAACAATACTAAATAAATAAATAAAATAAATAAATAAATAAATAAATAAATAAAAGGCCAAAAATTTGGTATCTACAGTTTGCCCCTCTTGTCTGAGTTTTGGAAAAACTTGAGATAAAGAAGTAGACACCAAATACTTATCTGTGTTATTCGGCTGCAAAACTACTCAAGCGACTGAGGACTGACCCCTTTAACAAAATTTTAAAAATGGGACTGACCCAACGGCTAGTGGTAGTATAAAAGAAATGCTCACTAGTGGGACTGACCCAACGGCTAGTGGCAGTGCAAAAGAAATGCTCACTAGTGGGACTGACCCAACGGCCAGTAGCAATGCAAAACAAAATGCTCACTAGTGGGACTGACCCATGGCTAGTGGCGATGCAAAACAAAATGCTCACTAGTGGGACTGACCCACGGCTAGTGGCAGTGTAAAAGAAATACTGGTATGTATGAAAAAACTGTATAAGGCTGGCTTGAAAAATTATCCAAAGATTTGTCCCAGTGTGATGAATTGGTCAGTGGGATTAAACTCGAGCCTGCCTTAATTGGTGGTACAAAATCCAAACCCAACATGATATTTGTGAAGTTAGCGGCACAAAATTCAGGCCCAACGTGATGTTGGTGATGTTTGCGGCACAAAATCCAGGCCCAACGTGGTATTTGTGATGTTAGCGGCACAAAATCCAGGCCCAACGTGATTTTTGTGAAGTTGGCGGCACGAAATCCAGGCCCAACGTGGTCTTTGTGAAGTTGGCGGCACGAAAACCAAGCCCAACGTGATTTTTGTGAAGTTGCCCAACGTGATTTTTGTGAAGTTGGCGACACGAAATCCATGCCAAACGTGATGTTTGTGAAGTTGGCGGTACGAAATCTAGGCCCAACGTGGTCTTTGTGAAGTTGGCGGCACGAAATCCAGGCCCAACGTGGTCTTTGTTATGTTGGCGGCACAAAATCCAGGCCCAACGTGATAAAGTGAAGTTAATGGTCAGTGAGATAAGACCTAATCCTGCCATTCAATTGGTTAAGAAATTAAACGTGACTGTCAAGAAGGGAGGTTGAAGAGTGCGCGGCGGACGCTGAGACATCGCCAACATGAAATTGAGATTGATTTGATAATTTTTTTATTTTTTTATTTTTTTGATTTTTTGATTTTGATTTTGATTTTTTCTTTTCTTCCTTTTTTTTTTTGGATAATCTTTTCAAGAAAACGATTTGCCTCAGATTCAACCAATTATTGTGCAACCGATCATTTGCTTTGCATTATAGCATTGTTGCTCCTTCTTGGAACTTTGATTCGCACATCTTCCTCGGTCTGGACCATGAACATTCAATTCTCGAGTGACATTCCATAATCATAAGAAATTTGCCCCAATGTGTTGCTATTGGACCATTGGACCTACAAAAAAACTAGAAATAATCGTAATGATAGATAATGCCACCACCATCCGATCAATCTTGCTTTCAAAAAATGTGTAAACATGAGTACTTGGGCGTTTTTCCTCGATGTAGCGAAAGCTTAACTTTACTCCGTGAACTGTGTCAAGTTTCCTCAACTTCCAATACTAACAAGACCCTTGGTATTCAGCCAATCATATGGGTTGCCATTTAGTATATTCTTGATCCAATTTCGCCCCTCGAATCACATTCCATCTTCTTGACTTCCAATGCTAATAAGACACTTGGTATCCAGGTAATTCCAATAAATCACAGAGATTGCCATTAGATAAATCCAAAAGATAGATGAGACCATGAAACAAATGAAAGAATATTATATTTACACAATCAATGATGAAAATCTTCGTGATTTGAAAACAAAAATTAATTTAAGAAAATTGCATCTGTAAATTTAACAATTTGTATCGGGTAATCCAAAACCCTTTAATCTCAAACAAATTATCACCGTTGACTCTTTGGATATCATCCTTCCAAAATTCAATGTCGGCAACCAAACCACAAGGTGAATAGAAATTTCAACGAACTGAGTCGCTAGCCCTTCAAATCGAAGCTTACTTCTCCTTATAAAATCCTACCCAAGTGCCATTTCAGGTTTTCACTAAGGCTATCCTCACCTTTTTATTTTTCTTCCCTTTCTTTTTCTTTATTTTTCCTTTTTCTTTTTCTTCTTGGGTGGTACTCCGGTTTTCACTAATGAACCAATCCTGCCGATAGCCTTCATTAACTTCGAAATGTGTTTAAGAAATGATGGCATCAATGCGACAAACCTTCCCTTGCAAATTGGCGAAGATGTATTGACATCATTTGTCATTTGATTAAGAAAATTTCCTTAAAGAGGTGGTGCAAAGAACGGAAGTCAGGACTTTTGGCTTTTGTAATGGGATCTGGCGGGGTGATAAGAAAAGATTAAGGCTTGAAGACAGATTTTATGAATGGTTTAAATGATCTGAGATCGCATTGTTGCGCCAACCCTATTTTAGGGCTAAATCAAAACTTGCCCCAGTTTATTCTCGACTGAGGTTCTCTTTTCTTTCATTTTCTCTTTTTTTCTTTTTCCATTCATCTTTCCTTTGAAATATTCACAATTTGCCCAGTTTATTTTTAACTGAGGTTTTCTTTTGTTCATTTCTTTTATTTTTCTATCACTTTTTACCTCTTGAAACTTTTCTTTCCAACTCAAACTTGCCCCAGTGTGGGGTTTGTAATTCTCAGGGGTTGCCAAACGAAATGATTTATTCTGAAGGCTCAAAAAGGGATAACTAGGGATAAAATGTTTAATTGGAAAGGAAGGAGACCTGACTTTTACACTACAAAAAAAAATATTTCTAGTGACAACAATCTTTGTCAAGAAAAGTTGCGTATGTTGTCAGGAAAAGTTTTCGTGACGCTCATGTCGTCAGAGAAGATTGGTCACCTATACGCCGTCGGCAAAAGATTTTCCTGACAACTAGTGGATTTCTCGTCAGGAAAAGTTCCATTTTCTGTGACGTGTCATCAAGAAAGGTAATCGTGACGATTCGGTCGTCAGGAAAAGTCCTCATATTCTTGACGAACCTTTGTCAGGAAAGACCCTAAACTTTGTCACTAAATTTTCGATTGTCAAGAAAAGTCATGCATTGAAACTTGCTGGACGTACTTTAATGACAATTCAATGTCATTTTTCCTGACGACAGCTGCATTACTATAATATATTAGTTTCTAATTTCACCATGTAGCATTTTTAAGCCTAGCAATTTTAGTGACAACAAAGTAATAATATCATCTACTAAAACACTTCACCCAATCAAAATATAAAAGTATGCAAGCAAAATATCAACCAAAACTTCACAAATTTCATTAGTAGGCAACCATAATATGTCAAACGACAAAAGTTAACCATGTCAAACATGAACATATCATTACATTCCATGATTTGAAACCAATATAAATATTGCTATTTCTCCCTAGATAACTGCCATATACCTAACATGTGCTAAAATCAAAAGATGGACTTCAATTCCATGGTCAACAAAATACTAGAGATGGATGATATCAAAATAGAGGAATTCTTCAGTATGAGCTAAAAGCAGTCCAAAAGCCAAAAGCAGTCCATAATGTTGAGTTTATCCCAAACTCAAAAGCCAAAAGCCAAAAGCAGTCCCAAACGTTCATCCCAAACCTGTACAATAAAACCAAGAAAAATCTGAAATCAGAGAAACAATAGAATGGCATGGAAAAGATGTATTTTTGTTATGATGCATGGATGATCACTACAAATTGCTTAGGGACCACCTAATCATGAGGACAAGCAATACAAGAATAATTACTATGCTGAAGTAACTGCACATAAATGCATTTGTTTCGAATAAAGATCTACAAACTCACCATTACTAGGAAGAACCTCCACACTGCTTCTGTTTCCAAATGAGGAATTCTTGTAGCATTTCTTGTATCCCTTGCTGGCTTTGTACAAGATTTTGGATTTGGGTATCTTGTGCTTGAATTCGCTCCTCATAGCATTGAAGCTTCTCCTTGCACTGTTTTAGTTCTTCAAGTAGTGCTCTATTAGCTGAAGATTCGGGTTTGCGAGAAGATTGGGGTGGTATGACCCCCATACCCAACCCTTTGGCACGACCAGCCCTCTTTCCTAGGACATTTTCCATAATTTTAACTTCATTGACAATTTCTCCATTCTCGATGCATTGCCTTCTCTCTTCTTTTAACTCATCCTGTACATATTAGATTCACATAACTCAAAGAGTCATTAAATGTATAATATATATGTAAATGTCATGTTACTAATAAAAAACAAAGTTACTAGAATCAGCCGACTATAGTGAAAATTACATCGAGAGATTTTGCAGTATTATTCACAAATTGGCCATCCTTTTTTATGTGAGCAGCAGTCCAGGCATCAATTGCACTTGGTGGAACCTATTTTATAGCATAAAAGATCACGAGTTAGCTCTAGTTTTCTTCCTAGTATAAATATAAGCCAAAATGGAAATAAAAAATCAGTAATATACTATCTCTTGTGCTCGAACATGATTTGATTTTGAACCGCCAGTGTGCGGATAGGGTAACATGGCACGGTTCTTTGTATTGGCTTCTGATTTTTTCTATTAAATACCAAAAAGATAGTTAGACAAAACATAAAAGGCAACAAAAGAATTAAGATCATGCAAGTAAACAAAACTAGAACCAATCACCTTGAATATAGGATCTTCGAACCAATCACACATACTTTTCCACTCATCTTGCTCAATCCAGTCATAAGGACATGAGGTAAGTGGATCTTTTCCAGCTGCCTTCAACATCTTATAATCTATGTGCATAGTATTCCTCCACTGCCTATAGCTATTCTGAAGCATGTCATCCACATACTTTTCCACATTAGGATCAGTTTCCCAATCTTCGAAGTCAAACCATCCCTATAAATTACCATTAAGAAATAGATCATTTTTAGAATTGGTCAAGTCAGCAAAATAAATATTAACACACTAAATGTCATTATAAAAGACAACGGTGTAATCTGGTACCATCAAGCCACCATATAGGTTCTGTTTTTTCTCATTTGGTATGTCATCATATATGCGTATGTCCTTCAGTGAAGAGAGGTGCCTTACAACATAACCTATACCACTAGCAAGTTGAGCAGCATACTTGATTGGTTTGCAACATCCTTCAGGAAAGACAATTTCCAATGGCTTGCCTCCCTAATATTAACAAATGAAACATCATTCAGGTATACCACTAGACAGTAATATTACATATGTACACATCTTAGTACTGAATGGCATTTACATTAGCTCGTATCATCTTCTCGATAACTTTTCCCGTGGTTGGGCCCCTGCCTTTTTTTTGCTTTCTTTGTTCTGAGAACAATTGTTAAACATTCTAGTTGATGCTTATTATGAATTATCACAAAAAGGATGCATACATTGAATGGTAATAAGTAAATCATTATTCAGCATTTTCACTTACCATTCGCCAATGCTTGAGTAGGATTACTATTATTTGAATTAATCTGGATATCATCACCTGTGGTAGCTGATTGATGCTCCAAAGTTGAGTTTGAAGTTGGTGGTTGTTCAGATTGCAAGTTGGTATTGGGTGGGCAGTTTCTCTTTAACCGTTTCCCGGAAGGTGCCATCTGCAATAACAAAGTATATGATAAAAAATGAGTCAAATTAGTAAAATTTTGATGTCAAATTATAAACAGAGATCAAAATTTAAGTTATACCAAAAACTTAACAAAGAGTTAAAACAATGAAAAAGATATCAATTTGATCAATATTGGGTAAAACCACAAAAAAGTAACACTTTCTTCTACAATGCCAAAAACCTTTTCACTTGACACTTCTATGCTATTTCTTAAGCACTATCTAAATCTATATCCATGTCAATGGTTTCATCACTATCAGAAGATTCAATAAGCATGCCATCTTCTTTAAAAACATTGTCTTCTTCACCATACTCTTCTTCACCAGTGGAAGTATGCAAAGGATTCTCCAGAACAACTTCAATTTCAACACCTTGTCTGCTTAAGAGGCCTAGTTCATCATCTTCGACAATAGGCAGAACAGTTCTTGTTTCATTTTGCTGCAATAATTCATCTAAAAAACTTGTATCTGCATTGAGCACATCTCCATCGTTCTCTTCCAAATCTGGTAGGTTCCACAAATGCCTATGTTGAACACGTTGTACAATTCGCCAATGTCTCCCCAACTTTGTATCACCAATATAGAAGACTTGCTGGACTTGATTTGGTAAAACAAATGGATCATTTTGATACCAACGTGATCTAATATCGATGGTCACAAAGTGCCTATCACTCTTTATTGTGTTTGTGCTACCTGTGTTATACCATTCACATTGAAGCAAGACTACCTTGTATGCATGAAAAAAGGTCAGCTCAACCACAGCCTTAACAAAGCCATAAAAGTCAATGTGTTTTCCTTTATGGTCACCCTCAACAACTAAGCCACTATTCTGTGTTGTACGGCAATCATCCCGATCTCTTGTGTGGAAACGAACTTCATTGACAATGCATCCTGAGTAATGCTTTGTCATGAAAGGTATAGGACCATTTGCTAATGCCCACAGCTCTTCAGAAACATCCAATGATTTATCAATGTGTAACTGATTTATCTATAAAATAGAAAACGAGTCTCTATTAGTCAGTTTTCAATAACTAATAAACTTATTTTTATAATATGTATAACTTACATGATCTTTGAACCACTCTGTGAATTGATCTTCATGTCTGCTATCAACATTTTCAGGATGAATCCTTTGCAACATCTCTTTATGCTTACTGAAATTCAGATTGTATTACCAATATAAAGTAAAATAAACCACAAGAAGTAATATCGAAAATATAAAATTGAAATACATATTGCACTTACATTCTGTACTCTGCTATTTCATCACAGTTATTCAATATAAATTTATGAGCCACATCTAGTTCAACTTGAGATAATTTAGTAGGAGGTGTAACAAGTCCAAATGGGCGAACACTTAGTGAGAAAACCACCAGCTCCTCTGCCTTATCCTGATTATAGTCATAGTTGCGTCTCTTGCGGGTGAATTTTGTTTCAATGCCATGGAGATATTTGGACATGAATGTTAGGCACTCATTTGCAATATATCCTTCTGCAATCGAGCCTTCAGGACGAGCGCGATTACGGACATACTTTTTAAGGGATCCAAGATACCTTTTCAAAAGCATGAGTTAATTTTCTATCCAAAACAGAATGTTAAGTAAAATAACAAAATTTGTAGTCAAACAAATAAGGAAGAAGTACCTTTCAAATGGAAACATCCACCTAGGATGTACTGGCCCACCAAGTTTTGCTTCCTTTGGCAAGTGAACAATCAAATGGATCATAATGTCAAAGAAGGCAGGAGGAAAGATTTTTTCCAACTTACATAATATTAACGGAGCATTTTTCTCCAACCTTTCCAAGTCATCCATCTTAAGGGTTTTAGAACACAAATCTCGAAAAAACTCACTTAACTCAAAAATTGCCTCATTGACTTCTTTGCACAAATACCCACGAATGCCCGCTGGAATAAGTCGTTGCAAGAGGACATGGTAGTCATGTGTTTTAAGTCCCATCAGTTTACCATCTTTAACACACTTGGAAATGTTGGCAGCATACCCATCAGGAAACTTAATTGAACTAAAAAAATCACAAAATCCTTTTCTCTCACTTGAAGACATCACATACATGGCTGGAGGCTTTGTTTTCCTTGTACCATCATCATGTAAGTGTAGTTCGTGCCTTATTCCCATGTCAAGTAGATCATCACGAGCTTTATTAGTATCTTTTGTCTTATCAGGAATGTTCAACAATGTTGCTACTAAACTTTCACATGTATTTTTAAGGATATGCATCACATCCAGACAATGTCTCATGGAGAGTTTTTCCCAATATGGTAACTCAAAAAATATACTTTTTTTCCTCCAATTACCCTGAATTTTATCAACTCCTTTTTTCCGAGTAACTGGGTTCTTACCAAACTCACCAAAGACACCAGCCAAGGAATTTAAATGTCTTAAAACCTGTTCTCCAGAAAATTCCTTTGGCCTGGAGCGTGTTTCAATAGTTCCATCAAAATGAGCTTTTTGCTTTCGCCAACGGTGGTCATGGTTCAAAAAGCGACGATGTCCCATGAAACATATTTTGCCTTTTAGTCTTTGTGAAGCAGTATCATCAAGACAACATGGACATGCTTTATACCCACTGGTGCTCCATCCAGACAAATAGCCATATGCAGGGAAATCTGATATAGTCCATAAAATTGCTGCACGCATTTGAAAGTTTTGTCCACTATATGCATCATAAGTGCTGATTCCATGAAATAAATCTTTCAAATCATCTATTGCTGGCCTTAAGAACACATCTAACTCCTTTCTAGGGGCACGTGGACCAGGAATAAGAAGTGATAGTATAAGAAATTCCTTTCTCATAAACTTATATGCAGGCAAATTGTAAGGTACAAGAATAACTGGCCACATGCTATATGAGTTGCTCATGTTACCAAATGGATTGAATCCGTCCGTGGCCAATCCAAGTCTTACATTTCGAGAATCTTTAGCAAAATCAGGATATTGCTTATCAAAATCCTTCCAAGCAATAGAATCAGCCGGATGTCTCATGATACCTTCCTCTTTAACCCGTTTCTCCTCATGCCATCTCATGTCTTCAGCAGTTTTAGAAGACATAAAAAGTCTTTGCAACCTAGCTTTTAATGGAAAGTACCACATCACCTTCTGTGGAACTTTTTTTTTCTTGCCATTATTGACTTTCCATCGTGATTCTTTACAAATAGGACACTTGTCCATCTTTTCATTTTCTTTCCAAAACAATGCACAATCAAATTTGCAAACATCAATTTTTTGATACCCCAAACCTATACCAGATAGAATTTTCATGGCCCCATAAAAACTAGATGGAAGTATTCTCCTTCTGGTAACACATCTTTTAAAAATTCTAGCATCATGTCAAATGCCTTGTTAGTCATATGGTTCATCACTTTGATATGGAGAAAGGAAACAATGAAACGCAGCAGGGAGTATTTTTTGCATCCCGGGTAAAGTTCTCTTTGTGCATCATTTAACAATTTGTCAAAATTTTTTGAATCCCATTCACTCGATGTCCCTGATTCATGTGCATTTCTTATCTCATCCAATAAATCAGGTAACTCATCAGATTCACCATTTTCATTCATATCAAAGTCATTATATACTGTTTCATTGATGAAATCTGTCTCACCTCCAACACCATTCTCATCAAGGTTATTGTTCTTTCCACTTGACATATAAGAGTGTGCAGAAAATGGTTCCCCATGGAAGACCCAATTTTTATAATACATACAAAAGCCTTTTTCTGACAAATCTGATTCAACTTGAGAAATGCTTTTTCTCTTTGAATTCCTACATCTCCTACAGGGACAAAATAATTTTCCATCCAATCCCATACCATTGGTCTTAGCAAATTCAATAAAATCCTTAAGACCAGACTTATAATGACTTGACAAAATATTTGGATCATTTATCCAGCTCTTATCCATTTCCGATACCTAGAATAAGAAAAGTCTTAACTTACTAAACTCAAGGCATTGTTAAGATGAATAACTCAAAAAGGAGGAAAGACAATTTCTAGCTATAAAAAGATAAAGGAGGCAAAAAGACATAGAATTATTCACAATTTACCTACTTTTTATGGCTTAGTTATGAATGCCAAGCTACTTAGATTATTCACTGATTACATCAAATGCGATACTACTCAATAAAACTGAAAACACATTAGATTATTCACTGATTACACCAAATGGTATACTACTCAATAAAACTAAAAACACATTCCTGATTGTACTATTCTCCTATTGTTTAATTGTATATGCTCTTGTATAGTATATAGAAAACATTAAACATCATAACCCATAACTTGATTTACACAAATAAGGATGTAAACCATAACATAATTTGCAAGAAACTAGCAGTCATGATAAACACTTTTCATTCTTTAAGGTAAGCTACCAAATAACCACATACCTCAAATTATGCAATCTTT